AAGAGAGAGAGAGAGAGAGAGAGAGAGAGAGAGAGAGAGAGAGAGAGAGAGAGAGAGAGAGAGAGAGAGAGAGAGAGAGAGAGAGAGAGAGAGAGAGAGTGAGAGATAAACAGACAGTTGTCACTGATTGTTTATGCTCCAGATAATTCTTAAATTTTCCTCCTTATATAAGTGGCCTATGAATAAGACTTCATAAGCACAAACACAGTAACATGTACACAACAATGAAAAAGAAAATAGCCACAATGAAAATTGATAATAAAATTGAAGTCTGGGGAAGGCTTTGCTAACTAGTGATGGGGTAAGATCATCCCCATTGGCCAGCACTCAAGTTAAAATTAGGCAATTTTCATTTACATGACAAAGGACATCAGTTAAATTGTCATAGATTGTCAAATTTGTACGACTGAAAAATAATTGAAGCCCTTCTAATTAGAAAATTCATAGTCATTTGCCAGAGGGATGTGAGATCATCTCTTATGCAGATAATCTGGCAATCATCTCCTCTGGCAAGCATTGCCTAACTAGAGCCCAGCGTTGTCTGGATCTTGTGTCTGAAGAGTGTGACAGGACGGGTCTAAAGATTTCGGCAGCAAAATCAAAATCTATGACTGAAAACCAATGTCAGAAACAAAAAACTCACTGTCCAGGGCATAGATCTGGAATGGGTGAAGGACTACCTATAATTCGGCGTATGGATAGGCCATACACTCACTTTCAGGAGATCCAGTACCTGCTTGACCAAACCAAGGAAAGACTGTCTGTCGTGAAAGTAATGACCGGGAGACACATACGAGTAGGACACAAAGTTCTAATATCATTATATGTACATGCTGTCCGGCCTATTATTGACTATGCTTCTGTCGCCCTCATTGCTTCCAGTACAACATTAAAAGAAAAACTGGAGACAGTCCAAAAAGAAGCAGCCAGAATCATGCTAGGTGCGCCCAGTTGGACAAAGGTCATCAACCTTCCCATGGAGGTTGACCTGTTGTCCCTGAACACCCGGATTGATCTAATGGCAGCCTGGTTTCTTTCCAAGGTCATATAGGCACCCCAGAACTCGTATATGAGACAAAAAGTACTCATACGCCTACAGCTAGACTATCAGCTGTTATGGCAGTCCAGTTTCTTTCCAAGGTCATACAGGCACCCTGGAACTGGTATATGAGACAAAGAGTACTCAAACGTTTACAGCCAGACTATCAGCTGTTTGCCAACGACTCCTGGCTCATACACACAGACAGACTATCAATACGCTTCCAACTCAAACAACAACAGCTTACCAAGGACATGGACTCCCCTCACCCTGACTACAAAGAACTCCCACTGTGGGCAAACACCTTGATTGAGTTCTCAGTCCTGAACTTGTCAAGGAGAAAAGATCAGTACTCTATGCCTAGCCTAAAGGCACAAGTACAAAGGGTTATTGCACAAATAACTCCCCCGGGTAGTAGAACCTACTATGCAGATGGAACTGTGGATCCCATAAACCACACTACAGGTGCCAGCTTCGCAGCAAGGGATACCACAACATCCATTAGGGTCACTGACAATGCCTTATCGCTCCAAGTTGAAACGGTTGCAATCATGGGAGCCCTGACCCACACATCCCTAGGGAATGGACGTGTGGTCATACACACAGATTCTAGATCAACTTACAAGCAACTTTACAAACAAAGCTGCACAGCTATGAGCCAGATTCAGAGATGGGCTCAGCGGCGATGGCGACTAGACCTAAAAGGTAAGCTCAGTGGCCAGTCTATGGGCAGCAAGTCTTGGTGAACAGCAACAGTGCTTTACTGCTAATGACAGCATACTGTCACTACAAAAACCTGATGGTAAAGTAGCAACTCAGAGCAAAGATAAAGCTGAGGTGCTTGCTGCCTTCTCGAGCAAGATGACAGTGCCTAATCCCAAAGAGGCTTCCACCAAATGTACCTGTACTCCCTAAGGCGAATTTGGATTCTCTTCACATCACACAAAAGGAGGTCATGCAAGTTATTATAAGTCGATCCCAAGAAAGCTCTGGGTCCTGATAACATTAGCCCCCACATCCTTAAAAGATGTGCATCTCACCTGGCTGCACCTCTTACAAGTATTTTCTAGAGATGACTAACCTCTGGAAAGTGGCCATCCCATTGGAAGGTAGCAAGGGTGCTGGCCATTCCCAAAAAAGATACAAAAACCAATCCCAAGAACTACAGACCCATCTCCCTCCTCTCAGTTCTTGGCAAGATCTTTGATTCCATCATAGCTGACAAAATTAAGGCATTCCTTACCTCTAAGCATCGGCTAAGAAACATGCAATTTGGTTTTCAAACAACCAGGTCAGCAGCTGACTTACTGCTCCACATGACCAGTACTTCACACAAGGCCCTTGACCAAAGCAAGGACACCTTTGTTATAGCGCTCAACATTGCATGGGCATTTGACATGGTGCAACACCTCGGCCTCGCTGCCTAACTCAACAGCATGAGAATGCGCAGATATTTTCTCTGCCTTATGCAAGACTACCTGAAGGTTAGATCCCTCAAGATAGCAGTGAATTATCGCTCCTTGGAGGAAATCCTAATAGGTGCCAGTGTTCGGCAGGGTGGTGTCCTCGGCCCACTCCTCTGGAACATCTTTTTTAATGACCTGCTTTGTCTTGTCCCAGAGGCACATGCATATACTGATGTCTTATGGGGTAGATGCTGGCAAGTCGATTTAGCTCCCGATAAAACACAGCTAATAATTATATCTCAATATCAGCAAACCAATGAAACACTTATTCCCACTGTTCTGTTGGAGTGGAGAGCACTGCCACTCCAGGCATCCATCATCATCCTGGGTTTGGAAGTCCATGTTACCCTGCCCTTCACTAAACACCTTCATAATGTTGCCAAGAAAGCCGCATGGAGACTTAGGTGTGTGAGGCACATCTCTCACCTCCTGGATGGTTGTGGTATTTCCACTTTGTATGCAGCTCAAGTTCATTCAGTCATGAAATATGCACCCCTTGCATGGTCTTCCTGCCCACGATCGTACCTCAGCCTATTAGATATGGTACAAAACAGAGCTCAGCAAATGATTTGACAAAAAGCCCAACCAAACCAACCGCTTACTCAGCTGCAACCCTTACAGCAACATTGCTACGTGGCGGGTCTGTGTCATGTACAAAGTGTACGTGCAGCACTCTCCACATATTGATTCACTTAAACATTTCTATTTCTATCATATAAATGTAATAGCCTAAGATAGTTTCCAGTAACCCTGCTGGTACTCCTGGTTCTTTGTTTGTTTAGGCTATAACTACTATGTATAATTTACTTTCAAAAGAGAGAGAGAGAGAGAGAGAGAGAGAGAGAGAGAGAGAGAGAGAGAGAGAGAGAGAGAGAGAGAGAGAGAGAGAGAGAGAGAGAGAGAGAGAGAGAGAGAGAGAGAGAGAGAGAGAAACTCTTTACTACATAATTATTATCATTATCCTTAATATCATATTATGTAAAAAAAAAAAAAAAAAAAAAATCATAAATCTTGTGTATGTATTAATTTACTACATC